AGACAGACAGACAGACAGACAGACAGAGAGAGAGAGAGAGAGAGAGAGAGAGACAGAGAGAGACAGAGAGAGAAGCAGTCATAGAAAAAGAGAGATACAGTGAGAGAGAAAAAAAAAAGAGACAGAAAGAGTGGGAGAGAGGGGGAGAGGAGAGAGTGAGAGAGATAGAGAGAGGGGAGAAGAGAGAGAGAGAGAGAGAGAGAGAGAGAGAGAGAGAGAGAGAAAGAGAGAAAAAGGACAGAAACAGAGAGAGAGAGAGAAAGAGGGACAGAGACAGAGAGAGAGAGACAGAGAGAGAGGAGGAGGGAGAATGGGTTGTCTGGGAGGAAATAGCAATGGAAATAAATTGAGAATAACAAAAAGGAGAGGGTGGGGTTGTCCGTTCCAGGGTAGGACTTGAAAAAGGCAAAATAACAAACAAAAGGAAGAAGAGACAAATTGGAAAGAAAGAGAAGGAAGAAAAGAAAGGAAAAGACCAAAAATGGAAAGAGAAGACAAAAAAAACAAAAAAGAGACCATATAAAGGAATAGAAAAAAGACAAAAAAACAAAGAAGAGTTTGTTCAAAAAACGAAATAACAGACCAAAGAAAAAAAAATAAAGATGACAGAAAAAAAAAAAAGAAGAGACAAAAAAAAGAAAGGGGATGGGAAAAAAAGAAAGAATAGACATAGAAAAAAAAAAGCATACGAAAAAACAAAAAATAGAAAGAAAGAGAAAGAAGACACTAAAAAAAGACCCCCCCCCCCACACACACACACCCAAAAGAAAAAAACAAACAAAAACTCACATTTCTGACACCTTTCCTCTCCATGGGACGCCCATTCGACATCGCCTTCAGCCTGTTCCCAACCGAGTCTTTCTTGGACACATTTCCCGTCCGGTTTTGACCACCAACCCCCTGAGATTTTACAGAGTCTCCTCCTCCTCCTCCACCAGACCCTCCTGCATCTCCCGACACCCAAGGCGGCTTTGCCGCACTCTTCGACCCTGCCAACGTCCTTTTAGGAGGTCGTGGTGGGGGCTTCTTGGGCGCTGAGTTAAAGCGAGCAATTCCCTCGCCTTTCCGGAGGAACGGTAACTTTCTCTCCCCGCTCGTCTGTTGGCTGTCCAGTCTCAACTGCGGATACATAATAAGGGATTATTAACTGGTATGTATCGGCCGAGACTGACAACATTATTGAGGGGGTGGTTTTCTGGTTAAGAAAAACGAAAATGGAAGAAGGCATCTAAAGTCAGCAGTATGTGTGTGTGTGCCTAAAGAAAGGTAGCAAAAGTCGGATGATATTTACCATTTTCAGTCAAGGGTTATATGTACAGGAAATTCAATGCTGAACACAGTGGTTTTTGAATTTCCGAAATATCTCCAGTAGTTTTTGGTGAGGTAGAGTATACAGATCCAATTTTGAGAAAATTAGCACATACAAACTTGAAAAAAAAATTAAGATTCAATTGTTTCTAATGTATTCATTCAAGGAAAATTCATTTCCAATTTGGCATTCAGCTGACATTAATATCAGGATTAGAATTCAATGGTAAAACACAGAGGGAAAGAGAAAAAAATGCTTCAAAAATAGATTTGTAACACCTTCTAAAAGCAGTCTTCATTATCTTTTTCAAAAAATACCCTAGTCTCAAAATTATTCAACATAAAATATTTAGAAGTCAATGAATGAAAACCCTTTAACAGATTGTTAAAAAATGGTGGAAATATCATTTTTTTAAAGGAAACACATTTTGGTTTTTAAAAAAGTGATTTTTTCGTCATTATCAGCCTGTAGCTCAAAATGGTCTGTGGCGACTTTTGGTACCTTTCTTTAGACACACACACATATACACATCTCAGTCTCAACTGAGGAAATATAGTAAGCGATTGTTAACTTGTGTCGGCCAAGACAGACAACATTACGGGGGGGGGGGGGGTGGTCCTGGTTCAGGAAAACATTAATGGAAGAAGGCATCTAATATTAACAATATAATCAACTCAGGATATAATAGTATACAACTGTTAACCTCGTATAGGCCGAGACAACATAATTATTATTATTTCACCTGGTTCAGAAAAACATTTACGGAGGAAGGCATCTATTTTTATCATCCTATTGACTGTTTAGTGTAAGAATTTGCTGTAGGCTGTTTTGAAAGGCGATGTATGACAGTCTTATGCTGAGCAGCCAATAACTTAATTGAATACAGCCACCCCATTAACACTACAGAAGAAGCTGTATGGCCCAAAGGAAGAACTAAGCAGGGCGGCCCAGTATATGTACAACAGACATCGGTGTTAAAGTGCGATGCGATCGAGAAGTAGAAAATATCTTTATTTCAATGCCACATCATCAATTTTAGTTTTTCCACAAAAACATAAGCATGAAGACAAATTATTAGTTTTCTTTTCATTTTCTTTGGTTCACACATACAATGACAGAGAAACAGGTAACATCAAATCTTCATTTCACTGCTTTCCAAAATATGGCACAAATGTTTTAAGAAAACTTATTTGGTTGGGAAAGAGTTGAGGGGGCTCAATACTTACGGGACAACATTTTTAATTAAAGACAAACTGAAACAACTTTTGTCACAGGCAGTAAGATTCAACTGTTGACACACTCGATTGCGTAAGCCGTTGCAATGAAAACGGTGGCCATCTTGAAAATTGAATAGAATTTTTTTTTTCTCCACCATATCTACAGTTTTTAACGTTTTAAAATTCTGTAACTTGCAAAATGTCACAAATAAATAGGTGCTTGCAGGTGGCTATTTTGATTTTTGAAACTATATTTATAAAGTATCCACAATAGTTCGCAAAATTGGGGATATGGAATTTGATGTTAAAAAAATATTTTTGGCATGAAAAAAAAATGTTTAAAAAATTCTAAAGCAAAATATGAAAAACCTAACTAGCCCACTACAAGAACAAATCATTTCTCTAACAACATGTGAAATTTGAAGTCTCCGTGACAGAAAATTTTAAAAGTGGGGTAGAAAAAAAAACGGCATTTGCAAGTAAAAAGTGGTGAAAAGGTGTGTTTTGAGAAAAACAAGGTTAAACATTGAAAATGTTAGTACACAACGTTGAACCCAATAAAATTGAATTCAGTTCATGTTAATCAATCAGCAACTAGTGTCAATATAATCTAGACTGAATTAGGTATCGGAAAATACCAAAAGTAAAAAGTGCTCAGAGTGAGAGAAAATCAGTTCCCGAAGCCCTAGATCTGACCCACAAGCCCCCTTAATGAGGGATGACATCTCTCCCTGTAGGAGGTTATCCAATATTGTGCTAAATCCAGATGATGATCTGACAACCCCTCCATGACCAGAAAATAGAAGTTTTACTCAGGCACCATCCGCAATTAGGAGTTCAGGGAAAAAAATATATCAGCAGTATCCAGAACCTTAGCATATAAGATTTACATAATGAACCAACCATGGCAAACAGGGGTGTATTGCAACTTAATTTGCATTTTCATGGCCTTTTAGATGACCTACTGATAACAGAATTCAAGAAAAAACAGACATATTGTATCGAAATCAGGATGACGGGCAAAACAATACAAAAATTAATTTAAAATCTGAGGGCTATGATTTAATCGAACTATTCGGCAGGTCAGCAAGCCACAGAAAAGCGGACTCCACAAAAACCAAACTGTCCTCTCACAACAAAAACCAAACCAGACCTGCCAACTCCTACCACAAAAAAATAGGATTTCATGGAAAAAAATAGGAGTGTGGAGAAAAAAATAGGGAGCATCTAACTTAACATACATATTCCCCAACAAAGTTGGTTAATCATTCTTAACTAAGAAGCTATGTAGGTCAACAGAAAGTTACCATTGACTTCTGACCTGTTGCCAGGCCTGAGTGTTTGTAAACGAGTAACATGCACAGACTTCTTTGTTGCGATAGCATCACTTTCGTTAATCGTGACGAAGTAATTAGGCACGCTCCCCCCAAAATAAAAGCTGGAATCTGATTGGCTATTTGATTTTACACCTGACCGATCAAAGTTCGTGGACAAAAGTTTTCTCTAGTAGAGATTGAGGCCATCTGCGTACATAATTATACAGTGTGGGCGGTTCCTACTCCGGGCTGTGTGTCCTAGATCTACAGCAGGCGCATTACTCGGTGCCCAAGTTGTGTACTGTAGATCAACAGCCTGAGTGGGCGATGGGTTAAGGGTTTTCCTGATCCATTTTCTGAATCGATGAGCCATCCGATCCGCATTAGGCCGAGTCTTCTCGGCTTGGGGAAAAAAAATCGGGCGTTCCGCATATTCCGTCAGAGTCGTTAAAAATGATAAAAATGTTGGAGCAATTACGATAAAATCAGAGCAGTTGGCAAGTCTGCCAAACTGTCCTATCACAAAAAAAAACAAACAACCAAAATGTCTTCTCACATTTAAAAAAAACCAAACTCTCCCCCTCACCTTCTCCTCTTCCTCCTTCAGCTGCTCCTCCAGGAGCTCCTCAAAGGACTTCTTCCCTCCGGAGCCACCGATGGGGCGCTCATCATGCACCACACTCTACAGTAACAAAAACAGAACATTCAAAACAGATTAGGTCTATGTTCACCAAGTGCAACACTCTATAAAAAAATGTTAAAAACCCAAGACAGTTCAGAATAGATTTGGTCTTTGTTTATTGTGGTGGTATGATGGGTCGCCCCTCACGATTTACCACTCTACAGAAAAAAAAAACAACCACAAATGTTCAGAACAGATCTGGACTTTGTTCATTATGCACCATACTGTACAGATAAAAGAAAAAACAAGAACAGAAAGTTCAGCATAGATTTGGTCTTTGTCCATTATGTACCACACTCTACAGAAAAAAAATCAAAACAGAACCAATATTGGTAACTAACAAATCCTCAGTTTTAAGAAGAGAACACATATACATAGACAAGCACGCATACACACACAAACACTCACACATACATACATACACACACACAGGGAGGGAGGGAGGGAGGGAGGGAGGGAGAG